CCGAGATTGCTCTTCGCAAACGCGTGAACTAGTACGCAAACGCGAAGAGTGGAATTCCATAGCTACGCGAATGCGTGAGGGGGACGCGAATGCGATGAGGCATGAAGCAGATCTTCATAAAAGCGAGGAGTGTTACGCGGACGCGAAGAAGAATTTCCAGGTGGTCAGCAACAAAGCTTCGCGAACGCGTTCGCGATTGCGAAAAAGGATGCCAGAAGCAGAAAACAGCAGTTCAAAAATAAGAGAAAATGGCCCGTAGCCCACCCGGAACACACCCGAGACCCCCGACCCCGTCCAAACATGCAAACAAGTCATATAACCTAACACGGACTCGCTCGAGGTCTCAAATCACATCAAACACGCCGAAACATCGAATCACACCAAGAATCGAACTTACGAACTTTCAAACCTTCTAACTCCTAAAACTCGTGCCGAAACCTATCAAATAAACCCGGAATGACGCCAAATTTTGCAAACAAGTCCAAAATGACATAACGGATCTGTTCCAACTCTCGAAATCGTATTCCGACCACGATATCACAAAAGTCAACTATGAGTCAAACTTCTCCATTTTCCCAAACTTCAACTTTTCCAACTTTCGCCGAAATATCTCAAATTACCCTACGGACCTCCAAATCCGAATCCGGACGTGCGTCTAAGTACAGAATCACCATATGAAACTCTTGAGATCATCCACGACCCGTTCTGGGTCCGTTTACCCAAAAGTCCAATTCCGGTCAAATTCTCACCGTTTACACTTCCAAAACTAGTTTCCTTCTTCCAATTTGACTCTGAATCATCCGTTAACCGAATTCAACCATGCATGCAAGTCAATATATATATTATGAAGCTGCTCGAGACCTCAAACTGCCGAACTGGACGTAATTGCTCAAAACGACCATTTGGGTCATTACATGACTGATCTAAATAGAGTACTCTCATGAAAGAATGCTTACATTTAATCGACATACCTGTATTTACGCAAAAATGGTTTGATCGGTTAAGTTAAATTGAAATTTCAACATTATAAACTATGATCTAATGGAAAATGACTTGTTCTAGTTGCTTTGAGGACAAAATTGTTATCACTGAATATAATATATGGATGTCGGCCTCAGAGGCTAATTCCATTTTAGCTAATACTATTTTGGCTTCTGGAATACAACAAACTTTCGTGGCATGATTGATAGAAAGATCTGAATGAGAAATGGTTGAACTCACATTTTCCTTAGCTAATCTACTCGGATCCCCGTTTCATGAAGTCTCCAAATTGGAATCCAATTCTTCATCTTGGCACATCTCCCATTGGATCATTTTTTCTGGAGTCAAGACAACATCGAAATCCTAGAATGATCCTGAATTTTGAAGTTCTCGCTATTTCTGATTCTTATTCCAAGAAAAGAAGAATGATGTGAGAAGGAAAAAGCATGAAAATTGGAAAAAAGAAGGATGATTACATTGAATAATAGTAAAAAACAAAGCAACAAAAAGAATAGGTGTGTCATTTCAAGTTTTTTTTTAGCTAGAAGATAATATTGAAGATATGGTCACATTTAGTAAAACTTTAGCTAAATTGATAAGCATAAAGAGAGTGGCCGACAGAGAAATGTAAGCAGCAAAACTTGGTCATTTAGGACCACATAATAAAAAAAATTAGACAAATTTCTTTTCTAATAATTAGTGAGACTTATAAATGTCTCTCTCTGTACGAGCTCCAAAATTTCCTGATAGTTGCAGCTTCCCCAGGATAGGCTTAAGTACTATATAGCTCTATTTCTGTTTACCTATAGAATCTGAACGACAACAAGCATCCTAGTGTAACGATTCGACTGATCGTTTTGCTTTCTAAAACTCCGTTTTCCTAAATAAGACTTCCCGTACTTGCTTTTACTGATTTATAACTTGCGAAGATTGTTAGTTCGGTATTTGGAATAGTTTAGGTTGAAATCAGAACATTTGGTTCCTTAAGGTTGGGTTAAAAGGCCAAGTTTGACTTCGGTCAACGTTTTGAGTAAACGACCTCGAAATTAGGATTTGAAGGTTCCAATAGGTTCGTATGATGATTTTGGACTTGAGTGTATGTCCGGATCGGGTTTAGGATGACCCGAGAGCATTTTGGTGTCTAATAGTGAAAGTTAATTCCTTAAGAATTTTGAAGTTCTTTGAATTTGGTTTGGAGAAGGTTTTTGTGATATTGAGGTCCGAACGGAATTCCGAGATTGAGAATAGTTCCATATTATCATTTAAGACTTGTACGCAAAATTTGGTGTCAATCTGAGTAGTATAATTGTATTTTGTTATATTGGATGTGAATTGAAAAACTTGAAGTTCATAAGTTTTATTCAATTGGTTTTAGGGGTGATTCTTAAATTTAGCATTGTTTCGGGCGTTCCGAGGGTTTGAGCAAGTCCGTTTTATGATTTCAAACTTGTCGATACGTTCGGACGGGGCCTCGGGGGCCCCGAGCGTCAATCGGACGAGGCTCGAGTTAAATTAGAAAATTTTAGAAGGAGCTGAAGCTCCAGGCATCTATCATAACCGCACATGCGGTTGTCCAGACGCAGGTGAGAGACCGCAGAAGCGGCCTATCCCTCGCAGGTGCGGCCCAAGAGGAGGAGCCCAAGAACCACAGATGCGTCTCCTCTTCCGCAGAAACGGCCCCCAGACCGCATGTGCGACCCCAACTAGACCGGTCAAATTCCGCAGATGCGGACCTTCCCTTGCAGAAGCGAGACCGCAGATGCGATCCCCTAACCGCAGGTGTGGAAATCGCTGAAGGCAGTGCCTTCATTTAATATGGAAATGAGTCATTTTTGACACATTTTATTCATTCCTTGGGCGATTTGGGAGCTTCCAAAGAGGAGATTTCAGCCTAGCATTGTGAGGTAAGTTATGTTTACTTATTGTGGGTTTAATATATAGTTTAGGGATAGATTACACCATATAAATTAGTGAAAATTATGGTTTAGAGTAAAAAACTAGGGTTTTGATAAAAACAAAATTTAACCACGAAATTCGTTATGGAATGAAGTAAAAATCATATATTCTTGATCCTTAGGTTATGGGTTTCCCTCAAAAATTTTCGGAATCCGGGCACGTGGCCCCGGGGATGAATTTTAGGAACCTTGCATTTAGGGTTGAGAAATTACTTTAATAGATAGAATATGAACTCTTAAGCTTGTATTGACTAGTTCTTACCCCATTTGATTAGTTTTGGATAGTTCAGCTCCGAATTGAGGGTTTTGAGCATATTCTTGAATTTTGAAGTAAGCTTTGGAGCAAGGTGAGTCTCCTTTCTAACCTCGTAAGAGGGAAATAACTCCTAGGTGAATTAAATAAATGTATGTGACTATCTATAGGGGCTACGTAGGTACGTGGTGATGAAAGTCCCTACGTAGCTACTATTATACTAAATGTCCGGGTAATTTAGGATCCGTATCATGCCATACTTGCAAATGCTTACGTCCCTTCTTGATACTAAGACCACTTAGGCCATGCTAGAAATTTGTAAATAAATATAGGCGGAAATGCTCGCTTACTTGAGAATTTGTATGAATTTATTTGACTATGAATGAGCAATGTATGCTTGCTTGATAATAAATTGCTATTTGTGGATTGGGCCGATCGCCTCGGTAGAAATAGATGCATCTATGGTTCGCGTTATTCGACCCTCTGACAGTGTACAGTTTATTATTATGTTGGACCGGACCGTACGACCTCGACATAATGTGCACATGTTATTTATGTGGAACTCTTCCGTGATATACTCTGCTTAAATGCTTTGAAATGTACTTATTACATGACATGACTGAAGTTGATATATTGTTAAGAAGTAATATCCCATTTCTCCTGGTTTGGGACTGTCATCACATTCATGCTACTCATGCTTAGCGTAACACTTAAATATTATTGATATTGACCTTAGTAAGTGTCAAGTCGACCCCTCGTCACTACTTCTTTGAGGTTAGACTGGATACTTGCTGGGTACATGTTGTTTATGTACTCATACTACGCTTCTGTACTTAACTGTACCGGATCTGAGGCAGGTGCATCTAGCTACCCATCCGGTGCACGTTCCTGATTCTTGATCGAGATCTCATGGTGAGCTTCCCCTTCCGAGCCGTTCAGCAGCATGCCGAAGTCTCTTCTTTTGTTTATTGTTATTTACTGTCTATTCTATTTCAGGCAGTAGGATAACAGTATTTTTTTTGTATATTCTACTAGTTGCCCTAGTACTTGTGACACTAGTTCCTGAAATACACATTGTAGACTATTGTTTTGGAATGTATTTCTATTATCATGATTTTGTAAATTATCGACTGTTTTTAAAAGCTTAGCAATTAAGAAAATGTTGGGGTTATTTTGGTAAAATAAATGAGAACTCACTAGTTGAATTAGGGTTGGCTTACCTGACAACAGTGTTGGGCGCCATCACGACCTATAATGAAATTTGGGCAGTGACGCCTAGCCTTTACACAAATCATAAAGGAAATTCATTCCTTTTCTTCAGTTGAAAACAACATTGGTGTACTGTGCACTATAATTTAAACTTCATCTACTTTTTCAATATTTTTTTTCTTTGACAGAAAACTCAGTCCCCTTTTTCGGTTATGGTGGAGTTATTTATAATCTGGTACATATTATTTGTGTTGGCTAAAAGATTTCTCAGCAAAATCGATATCAAGACAAAAAAAAAGTTAAATAATACAAATAAAACATATGCACAAGCACAGAAAATACCCGAAAGCATGTGAATAGACCAATGTATATATAAAATAAAATACATACTACCTGACACCTTGGCAGGCATTGACTTGCTTTCCTGCCCGTGGAAGTAGACCACAAAATTGGAAATACCTAAGACAACAAGAAGAGAATTGAGCAAAAATCAAAAGGAAAGCGTGTCTGGATAATGCTTCTAGAGTTTTATTTTTGATAGCATATAACCGTTGTTAAAAAAGCAACAGTGCATCGAATCCTTTGTTGATGTGGTATCGCCTTTCTAATGATTGTTGTACAATCAATGGTATCTGATATAGCTCACGCGTAGCTCGTTTCTCGTCCATCTCACTTCTTTAAGCATGCATGGCTCAATAGTCATGTGAATAAGATTCTGCCAGAAAAAGCTACTACAATTAGTCACCAAATGTTGTTTATTATTTTATATTCAATTTCACATAAAATAATGCATAGATTTTCACAAAATTTGATGCGTGTATTATTTAACAACACAAACAAAACATTGCATCATTCTGTTGCAATTAGTTATTCTAATACTTCAACCAAAACAACCCCTTAGACATTATTAAGATGAAGTGATCTGAAGAAAACATAGTCCTTTCTATCCATGTAAACGCATGGAAACAAATTGAAATAAATCAGAAGCAGATTAGAATTGTGGCTCAAATACGAGAAAAACAGAGGCTTGTCCATTATGAAATCTCCAATTTAAAAAATGATAAAATATTCAAATGCAAACAAAGATGGAAAATTGGCGAAAACCCTAATTTCTTTTCAAGCTTTTCTTTGAGTTTCACAAACAAGAAAAACTTTGAACAACAAACCAACAAATACCCTGAAACAAAATAATTAGAGTCACCCATATAAAGGAGAAAAAATATAACAATATAACTAACCTTTCAACCATGTGATTATCTTAATGGAGCAAGTGTGAATCTGCGAAAAATTCAGCAAAAAACTCAATTTTCTGTTAAAATATCACTTTATAGTTCAAAAATTGATATTCAGTTTATGAAAGCAAAAAGCACCATAAAAATCACGAGGATTAAGTGATGAAGAAGGAGACGATGGGCGAATTTTGCAGAAAGCAAGAGGGCGCAACAGAGCAAAATTACGGTATTATGGTAGAAAAATTAAGCGGTGACAATGGAGTGAAAAATTACGTAAATAGTCTTTCCTTGAACAACACAAATCAGCTAGTGCATGGACACAATAGTAATTGTACCTAATATAGGAGCACTGCAAATACCAAATTGCCCTCTGTCGGCAAGCAGGGATGTCGACGAAGAGCTGCTTCTGCGCCTGTAGAATTCTACTAAAAAAAAGGTTAAGGCCTCTTATTAAAATTTGACTTTAGATTGCTAACTTTATGTCACGACCCGAAATTTCCACTCTCAGGAATGTGATGGCGCCTAACATTTTACTTGTTAGGCAAACCAACATTAGATATATTTATTAATTATTTTTAACAAACTTTAAATATGATGACAATAAGGAAATTGAATAGTCTGGAATAAGATAAATAAGCTAATAAGTGACGAAATTCAAATACAACTCCGGATCTGGTATCACGAATACATGAGCGTCTAAGATACTAAAAATAATGATCTGAAATAAACATAACTGTCTGAATCAAATGAACATCTAAAAGAAGTAGAAGGGGACTTCAGAGTTGCGGATGTCGTGCAGCTATACCTCAACTCTCCTATGGGTAGCTAGATCCGAGCAAGTCTGCGGTATGCCACTGGGACCAACTTCCGTATCTGCACAAGAAGTGTATAGTGTAGTATGAGAACAACCGACCCCATGTACTCTGTAAGTTCCAAGCCTAACATCAATGAAGTAGTGACGAGGCTAAGGTGGGTCACTTACATTAACCTGTACACAATAATAATAATAACAACAGAAAGACAGGAATAGAAGTAAAGCAAGTAACTCATATCAATGTAACTCAAATCAACCAGCAGAGAATCCCGAATAACTAGTCATATAACTCATCTCAATAACCGAGGCAAATTCAACAATCACAACAAATATAACTTTCATCAACATATTGTGGCGAGCAACCCGATCCCACAATATAAACTTTAAACAAATCCGTTGCGGCGCGCAACCCGACCCCTCTATATAATCATTTGTCAATATCATAGTCCATCTTTATTCTGCTTTTTAAATTTTTTCTTTTCAATTTCCGTTGCGGCATGCAACCCGCTTCCCAAACAATGTCAATTAATAATATTAACTCAATAACTAAGATTTACAAGAAATCATACATCAAAAGTACAAATGTACGAGCAATGGAGAATAACATGATAATCAAAGAGACTTAAACTACTCGGATGTCTCCACTTTACAAACTCAACGGTATCTACTTTTAACAATATGTACAAGTGAAACTACTTCAATAAAGGAAACAATTATTACGAAATTATAAGGCTATAAGGCATAAGACAATTTAGATATATGAGGGAAACAAATCGAGAAAATAGTAAATAAGTATGGAATCAAGGAGGGGATGGACATTTTAATACAAGAAATGTTAAATAGTAAGTAGAGATTATGGCATGGGAGTCAAATAAGCATGTAGCAAATAAGGTATGGAGACAAGACATAATATTAAGCAATGAAGATAGGGAAAACAAGTAATGTAATGATTAAGTCATGGAAACAAGTAATTAATGAAATATGGGAAGTATGGAAACAAATAATTTGACGGCGTATATACACTCGTCACCTTGAATATACACATGTAATTCACATAGCACATAGCTCACGGGTTCCTAATTCCCTCAAATAAAGGTTAGACCCAACACTTACCTCACTCCGCAATCAACTAAAAGTTCAACCACGGTCTTGCCTTTCGAACAAGCCTCCAAACCAATCAAATCTAGTAAATTATTAACCAAACGGTTCAAAATAAGCCTTAAAACGACGAATGAAGGAGGTTCCATTTAGATCTTATTGAAAAAGTCAACCCGGGGCCCGCTTGGTCAAAATCCGAGGTTCAAACCAAAACCCGATCACCCATTCACCCCTATCCCTGTTATGAAATTCAATTCAAAATCCGACCTCAATTCGAGGTCTAAATCCCAATTTTACAAAATCCTTAATTCTATCCAATTTCCTAATTTTTACCATGAAAATCCTAGATTTGATGTTGAAATCTTATGAAATGTAATGGGTAATTGAAAAGAAGTAGATTAAAGTCACTTACCAATGAATTTAGGAAAAGCATCTTTGGAAAAATCGCCTCTAGGGTGTTTAGGGTTGAGAGTTTGAAAGAAATGAGCTAAATCCTGTTCCTCCCCCTTTTACCCAGCTGCAGTTATTGCAATTGTGACACATAGTTCGCAATTGCGATTATCGCAAAACCGATCAATGCTATGAGCCTGTCGTCATCGCAAGTGCAAAAATTTGTTCACAATGTTAAAACCCACCCTCCGTAATTGCAAACTTTTACTTCGCAAATGTGAAGCCTGCTCTAACGATGTTGAGTCACAATTGCAACTTTTGGATTGCAAATGCGATCGCTGCTATGTCCGCAGATGCAAACTTTTCCTCGCAATTGCGAGTGCTGCCTAGCCAACCCATGCTCGCAAGTGCAAAGTATCTTTCGCAAAAGTGAGGCTCGCATTTGCGAGCAAGACCTTGCAAATGCGAGATCTACAGTCCAGCACCAGATGTAAACATGCACCGGCTATGCTTCCAAATCAAAAATCACTCCGTAGCCTATTCGAAACTCACCCCAGCCATCGGGCTCTAACCCAAACATGCACACAAGTATAATAACATTATATGAACTCGCTCCCGTGATCAAAATACTAAAACAACATTTAGAACTATGAATCAGACACCAAGACTAATGAAATTCTCAAGAAACTTAAGAACATGTAATTTCTCAACCAGACGTCCGAATCATGTCAAATTAACTCTGTTGTGCACCAAATCTTGCAGACAAGTCCTAAATACTTAAATGAACCTATACCAAGTTCTGAAACCAAAATCCAAACCCAATAACAACAAAGTCAAACTACGGTCAAATTTGTGAATTCTTTAAACCTTTAAACTTCTAGTTTTCAACAAATTACGATAAATCAAGTTAGGGACTTCCGAATTCGATTCTGGGCATACGCTCGAGTCCCAAATCATGATACGGATCCACCGAAAATTTTAAAATATTGACTTGGGTCCGTTTGCTCAAAACGTTGATCGAAGTCAACTCAAATAAATGTTAAGGTATGATTTCACATTTTTCTCATTTTTTTTACATAAAACCTTCAGGAAGAAGACACAGACTGCGTACACAAATCGAAAAAAGTTAAACGGAGCTAATCGAGATTTTGTAACACAAAAATGAGGGCTCAAACTGGAAATGACATATCGAGTCATCATATTCTCCAGCTTTAAAATAAACGTTCGTACTCGAACGGACATAGAAAGGTTCTTGGACTGGTGAAAAAGTGGATATCTACTCCGCATTTCTGACTCGGACTCCCACGTGGCTTCCTCGATCGGCTGACCTCTCCTTTGCACTCGAACTAAATGATAACTCTTAGACCTCAACTGTCAAACCTGCCAAGCTAGAATAGACACCGACTCCTCCTTATAAGTCAAATCCTTGTCCAATTGGACTGAGCTGAAATCTAACAAATGTGACAGATTACCGTAATACTTCTAGAGCATAGATACATGGAACACCAGATGGACTGCTGATAATCTAGGTGGCAATGCGAGCTTATAGGCCATCTCACCAACTCTCCCACAAATCTCAAAGGGTCTGATATACCTAGGACTCAACTTGCCCTTCTTTCCGAACCTTATCACACCCTTCATGGGTGAAACCCGAAGAAATACCCTCTCTCTAACCATGAATGCAACATCACGAACTCTACGAACGGCAAAACTCTTCTGCCTAGACTGAGTGGTACGAAGTCGATCCTGAATAATCTTGACCTTATCTAAGGCATCCTGTACCAAATCTGTACCCAACAACCTAGCCTCCCCCAGCTCGAACCATCCAACTAGCGAACGGAACCACCTCCCCTATAAGGCTTCATAGGGAGCCATCTGAATGCTCGACTAGTAGCTGTTGTTGTATGCAAAATCTGCAAGCAGCAAGAACTGATCCCAAGAAATCCCAAAATCCATAACGTAAGCACGAAGCATATCTTCCAATATCTGAATAGTGCGATCAGACTGCCCATCCGTCTGGGGATGAAATGATATGCTCAACCTGCGTGCCCAACTCATGCTATATGGCCCTCAAGAAGTGCGAGGTGACCTTCGTACCTCGATCAGAAATGATAGACACGAGCATACCATGAAGATGGACAATCTCGCAGATGTAGATCTCCGCGAACCGCTCTGAAGAATAGGTAACTGCCACTGGAATAAAATGTGTTGATTTGGTCAGCCTGTCCACTGCGTCGAACTTCTTCTGAGTTCGTGGGAGTCCAACAACAAAATCCATAGTGATACGCTCCCACTTCTACTTAGGAATCTCTAACCTCTGATGCAAACCACCAGGCCACTGATTCTCATATTTTACTTGCTGACAATTTAGACACCGAGCTACATATGCAACTGTATCCTTCTTCATCCTCCTCCACCAATAATGTTGCTGCAAGTCCTAATACATCTTGGTGGCACCCGGATGGAATACCGAGAACGGTGGGCCTCCTCAAGAATCAACTTGCAAAGCCCATCAACATTGGGCACACAAATATGACCCTGCACCCTCAAAACCCCATCATCTCAAACAGTAACTTGCTTGGTACCACCGTGCCGCACCGTATCCTTAAGGACAAGCATGGAGATCATCACACTAGTGCTCTTTGATGCGCTCATACAAGAAAGACCGAGTGACTGTGCAAGCTAAAACATGACTAGGCTCTGAAATATCTAACCTCACGAACTGATTGGCCAAAGACTGAATATCTGCTGCAAGAATCCTCTCACCGGCTGGGATATACGCAAGGCTGCCTATACTCACTGCCTTTCTACTCAAGGCATTGGCCACCACACTGGCCTTCCCGAGATGATACAAAATGGTAATATCATAGTCTTTCAATAGATCCAACCACCTCCTCTGC